ACATCCGGACCGGCTCCCTCCGGGCCCCCCCAAACATAACATCAGAAGCACATTTGTGTGGCACACTCAACATAGTGATACCTGTTTTACTGTTTAAAACAAAAAATCCAACAATGAGGGTTGTTTTTGTCAGTCTGTAAGGACTCATATGTTGGTTGGTCTTATTTAAATGTGTGAAATTGAGGAGTGAAAAAGTAGAGTAACAGTAAGACACAAAGATCATTACAGCACATAGGTATGGTTAGTCTTTACGATTAGATGCCATCTTCATGATGAACGTGTGCTAAATCCAGTCAGGCAAAAAATGCAAAAAAAGGCAAATTAAACACAATGTTGCAAATTAGAGGAGCTTGGGAAATAATTACATGCATTTACAGATTTACGGTGCAGGCAATTTGAAAGCAAACAGCAAGAGTAGGGATTAAAAAGCTTACTGGTGGTGGGGGGGGGGGAAGAACGTAAACGACAGGGCATTGAGGCATCGCGGCCCAGGTTCAACGTTCACTGATGTGGGGGAAAAAAAAAAAAAAAAAAAAAAAAAAAAAAAAAGGCTTGCATGCATTACAGTTATGCCACAATGTTTCTTTTCTTCAACACAGCACCGTTTACAGACAACCAAATGAAAAAGCTTGAAATGTGCGATCTTAGTACCAATGGTATAACTGGAACATACTTCAAGCACCTGTTGGGATTTTCACAATAAAGTTCATTTGAATCTGGGAGAAGTTTCTAACGAGAGATCGGAGATAAATTACAAAAACGTGCATAAACATGTATCCCCAGATGTCCTACATATTGTAATTGCATGTAGAATACCTAGAATTGTAACTATTCATAAGGAAACGTCAAATCGTTCTCTGCGCTCTGTAAACTGGCGTCTCTACAGATTTGTAAAAAGGCTTGATGCAGTATACTGTGTTGAGAACTAAGCCTTCGTCTGGGAGATCTTTCAGAGTACTTTCATGAGTTTTCTTGCATAATCAGGCACACGCAAGCTCAGGGCTCCACACCGCAGGGACAGACACTGTGGATATGAATGTTTGCAAAATAGAAACCGATTAGAGACTACAGGAGCCGAACCGAGACGTAAAAACAAAACCTTGCACCGTGTTTAGTGTTTAGAATGTTACAAATATAGTGAAAATCTTCATCCCGATACATAGATACTGAAACGTATTTACTCCAAGGGTTACCAATGAGTTCCTCCAAGCTGTACTGGAGTTAAAGAAAAGCACGGTGAATACGTCAAAGGTCAACAACTGCAATCAAAAACATAGTGTGATAACTGATGGGGACTTCAATTCATGTTTTACACCACAAAGGCAAAAAAACTTTGTGGAACTCTTAGAATGCGATTCATTTATTCGAGTGTAAGCAGACATGTAGAGGACTATTTTGTGTCAATAATTATTGATATTTGGTTATACAGGAAAAAGCACAATCCGTTAATTTCATGTTACATCCACATCACTGCAGTGTTAATATTTAACTACAGCCCAGAAAGAAGAAATTTGGCACTATGTCACTCGACACTGTTTCCATTCGTACAAAAATACTTCTGCACAGAGAATTAGCTGTGGATTCGATACCGTTTTGTCCACAATAAACAGTTTGAACCACATTATGCTGACGGAAAAAAAATATGGTGCACAATTAGCCGTGTATCTTCTACAATACGTGCAAACATATTGCACGGTTCAAATGTCATGTGCACAGAGAGCAAGAGTGCAACCTTTGCTGTTACATATTCCAATGAGAGGATTGTATGTCATATCTAACACATACATGTACTGCAGCTGCAGCTGTTGCTGTTGCTGTTACTTAAGGCAACCACAGGGACGGGTTTTGTGCGCGGATCATTAATGGAGATCCAAGGCTGAATCGAAGGAAACTCAACCGTCAATGTGAGGAAACGACTCAGGACACAGATTAAACATCAGGTTATTAAAGTAGTAGAGAGGAGTGTTTCCCAGACTGTTTGGGCTTTGGTCTCTAAATGTGGCTACCTCCACAAAAATACAACAATGACCCATGTAGTCTTAGAAACAATGGCCAGTCACTAAAACTAAATGATGTGTTTCATCTACAGTAGGCTGCAGCTTCCAAAAGGATTTTTACTCTTCTTGGTCCTTTGTTTGTTGGGTCTCAAAGTGATGATTTCTCTGCCGTTGCTGGAGCTCTGGTTGCAAACATTACTACTTGTGGTATTAAAAACACCTTCGGTGGGAGAAACACAATTTATGAGTAACATCACTATAGCGAAGTAATAAAACTTAAACTGTAACATAAAAAAATAAAAATGATTTAGAGAAAGACTCCTCACCTATTTTATTGCTTGTTGTATGCAGCACCTCGGTCTCTTCTGCCGTTTGCTGTTTGAGTCGCTGGAGATACTTCTCAGTTAAGTACTTAAAAACTACAAAAGAGAACAGAGATGTAATACTAGTGTTACCCAGAATGAGACGGCTTCACCTGCTTATTAGACTCGTTAACTCTCAGTGACCTACCCTCGTTGACATTGAGGTCCTCTTTGACTGAAGCTCGGTAAAATCTCAGCTTGAGCCTTTTAGCCAAAGCTTCGGCCTCCTCGCTGCAAGTAAAGACAATACACAGTTATTACCATTTGTCCTGAACACTCACTTGCTTTACTGCTCAAGTAGGATTATTAGAATGAAGCAGCTACTGCTTACTTTTTTATAACGGTCTCTTCCAGGAGGTCAATTTTGTTCTGCACTAGAACTGTGGGAATATCTCCGACCTCGGCCTCCAACTTCTCCCTCCAGCTGTCGATGGCCTGAAACGACTCCCTGTCCGTGGTGGAGAAGGCTAGCACACACGCTTGGGCACCTGGAATGCAACAAGACAACACACCAACCGTTGGTGTTTTTAAGCTTTTGTTTCTTTTAGCTCAAAGATAGCGGTGCTATGTGCGCCAGAGCATGTGCTTTGGTTGAATGCCGTGCTCGGTCAGTGACCCGAGGCAGCAGTGTTGTATTTGTCAGGGTGGTGGGGTCTTACCACGGTAGTAGGCCTTAGTAATAGCGTCAAACTCCTCCTGCCCGGCGGTGTCCCACAGCATTAGTCGGACCTCTTCGTCATTAACGCTAAAACAAAGAGCGGGCAGTGAGGGGCGATACACACTGTTGGCAATATCCGAAAGAGGAACGTAAACCTCGGAGAAGTTGCTTACATGATCTGCCTTTCCAGGAAGTCCACTCCGATGGTCTTCTTGTAGTCCTTGGTGAAGACGCCCTTGCAGTACCGTTGGATCATACTGGACTTGCCAACAGCCCCGTTGCCGACCACGACCACCTTGATGGCCACTTCCATGTCCTCCTCCAACATGGTGGTGACGTCTGGCTGATGTACTCACTTCCACTGCCTGGGTAGTTTCAGTGATGTGACACAAACACATAAACCAACTGAAAGTGTAAAATAAACCAAAACATTAATGTATGGCACATGTTTAGATACTGGAAGTCAAACACACTCTTGTCTGGTTTACATTTGAAGCTTTGTGTCAGTGACAGGAAGCAGATGTGCTCATCTTTGAGTGTAACGGTTAGTTATGCAGCTGATTTACTGAAACAGATGGTTAAGTTTGGTTTATAATCAGAAACGTCCTGCACTCTGTTTGTAAAATAATACTTACTGAAAAGCTTTAATTTTCAATCAGACCCTATAATTAAAAAAACAAACAAAAAACAAAAACAGAGTTCAGACACAGAAAACTCTCAAAGACGTGACTTCGGCCACAATGAATGTTGAGCTTGTATTACAGTGCGAGCTCTCTTTTCTCCATAAACTAACATGACTTCTACAAGTTATAAGAGAAACAGTTACAATCACACTCCGTCCTTTCATCGAGACGCTTCAGCTTTAATTAGACACCAAACTGAACCAAGTCAACAGCAAACTGATTCAGATTAAATTGGTTAGATAAAGGTGGTAAGTAATCAACTTTTATTCAGAAACATATTAGCAGACAAATCAGTCGGATGAGTCAATAACGTGAAACCTAAGCTATTTCTTGCCCAGTACAACCCAAAATGTAGAAGATACATTTACATTAACAGTTTTATAAATCTATGTTTGAATGTTTTTCAATTATTCTTTTTGAATACATATGTCAAACATTATGACAAAGTCTCAAATAACCAGAGCTCAGTAATCCCTTCTTATGTCTGGTCAACAGTCAAAACTCTGAAAGCATAAACACAACGATATAATTGGAGAGGTAGTTCCCTCTAGTGAAGGGCTTTATATACACGACGACTGGACTCATCCTTTAAACTCTTCACTGATGTAAATGTGACTAGTTATGCATCTGCAGCGTCTGTGCGATGTGTTTATCCTTCCATTAGTGCCGAGAGCAGCAGACTCCACATAGCAACTGGGTCTTCCACAGTTATGTGTGTGTGTGTGTGTGTGTGTGTGTGTGTGTGTGTGTGTGTGTGTGTGTGTGTGTGTGTGTGTGCGCGCGCGTGTGTGTCTGTAGCTGCTGAGTGCGATGCTAAACAGTATTGTGGGAAAGCTGTTCCCGGTGGATACTGGCAGCCTACTGTATGACAGCCTGTCTGGATTTGAGTCACAATATGTAATCGCAGTCAAGAGTCAACCACATTATTCATCAACTTTGAGCTGTATGACGCAGCAGTTGTTTTAACATGCAGGGCTGAAAATAAAACAGCCTGCTCTTCACAAAGGTTTGATGTCAACTTGTTAATGAGTTAACAGCTAAATGTATACTCGGGGTTAGATTTCACCTGGAAGTCTCTTAAATTGATCTGATTTATGTTTAGTGAGGAATCAAGACCATTTCTATAAGGTTAATTGTAAAATACCTGAGAGTGCCAGCTGTCCATTACCATCAACTCCAGTAAAATAAACATCAGACATTTAAACAAGTGGTTTTCCAAACCTGCACAGACAACTATTCTATCTTTAGTGTGTGTCTTCTGGTTATCATATTCATACCTGAGACTATTACCCCTTTCATACTACATGTCTTAAAGACGTGACAGAGTATCTGAAATACACTTAGCATGGCAGCAGAGCATCCTATGCATTAAACTACACATATAAATGACCTCTGATAAGTATGTAGAAGGTAATACACCTCCCCTCTGGAACAGTGAGTCATCTTCACAGACACTAAACTCGGGCCTAAAGGCGGGGGCACCGTTAAAGCCATTATTCTAGAGCACAGAGAGGATACAATTACTACAGTGCCATTAAGATGCAACTACTCCTTTCTGTTGAGGTTTACTGATGCTGCAGGTGGTGTTTACAAAGTCTGAGGGGAGTTAAGTCTTTCGTCAACTTTTAATTCTGCTTCATTCCCTCAAATCAGAATCCCTTGGTCGTGATATGACTTGTTGAATAGCTGACAGGAGAGTCTCCAGGTACCAAGCAGCTGCTCGTATAGTCCGTTAAAGCCTTAAGGCTGAGTAAGGATGTGAAGCACAGAGTGGACAATCGCTTACCTTTAGAACCACTTTCCAACTCATCCGGTGTCCGCCAACATTAGATGAGCTAACCAGACACTTAACCCGCAATCACATATCTCCAGCCTTCCTCCGCTCTTCTCTGTGGTATGTGCTACTGACTAAGGTTACCTAGCTTAGGTTAGCCACTAAAGGAGAAAATAACCTTCTGCTTATCTATCTTATATCTATCTTATGACTACAGAGACGTAGCGTTCAGGTAACGTTTAATCAACGTCTACAACTAAATACAATCCGTGACATTTGCGGGAAGACAACGCATTGCTATCTATCTATTCGCGAGCCTTCGTTCCAGCTAACTGCGTGCGCAATGAGAGTAGCTAACCAGGCTAAATAGGCTAGCTGGCTAATGTTTGTTGCTAAGCAGCAGTGTCAAGAGTTTCTTCTTCTACTACTTCTTGATGCTTTTTACCGCATGAAAAACAACGAAATAGCGCATTACCGCCACCAACTGGTACGAAGTGTGGTTACACCTATAAACACAATGTAAACATTTATAAATAGTATCAATACTGATGCATTAATGCGTAAAACATTGCATTTTGATATCCGAGATGAAGCTAATGTAGTTTTAAGTAATTTATATACTGTTAAGTATCTAAATCAAGCTCATCATGGTTTTTAATCTAAAATCTTAATCTGAAATATTGATTTCGAATATTTATTGTCGAGTAGAAATTACAGTAATTCCCTCTGAAATGTATGAAGAAGTTATACTGAATATGTGCTCGTAGCTTCACACTCAACTGCAGGACAGCCGAGATAATAGTTTTCCAAAGTTTCCATTAACTATTATAATTGATTGCAGAGAGCGTCTGGATAAATAAAGACAGGGTACTAAACCTTCCAATTCAATTAAGTAATATAATAATGTATGCTGGAAAAAAAATCTGTCTACGTATGTGTTGTGGGTGCGTTTGTTATGTTGTACAAATGCCCCCGAAAGCTCCTGTTGCACCCAGGTCGAGTCATGAAAATAAAGCAATGTACAAACCATGCTTTGTTTCAAACATTTTGACTACACGACTGATGATAGAAAATTGTGAAGTTTTTGTCTTTTCTTATCTTTTCATAGAAGTCCTCATTGACCGGGGTGAAATAGCGGGTCACGTGGTACAACTAAACGAGCGCACACACGTGACGACAGGTCTCTCTTCCTGTGTCGTCATCATTTACCCGCGTATGAACAGACGACTTTGTTTGGCGGGATTGAGCAGAGAAGAAGAAGCAAACCCCAGTCGTCTATTCGGTAATAACGACAATAAATACGTTACATGTTGTTCCAGTACGTGTTGTGTATCGTGTGATAAGTTGCTGAGCTCGTGTTAGAAGTTTACCGCCTTCAACCCTTTGAAGAAGGTAGTTTGCTGTCTGCTAGCCACAAAGACGTTGCTATTTATTCTGTCGTATGGAAGCAGCTCCAAAGTACCTTACTGAGTTTAATGAAGGCAGTTTTCTACACAGGTTTTTGCAGATAAAAGTTAAAGCTAGTTAAATTGTGTGTGGTGCCACTTCTGCACGTAGAATGGCACAACGTTAGTAACAGAGGTTAAGTCATTTATCGACTTTGTTTTTGTAAATAGGATTCTTTGATTTGTCAAAATCAAATGGGGTCAATGGATTGCTAATTGTTGACACATTATGTATCAAGTATCCAATATATCATTTTCATTTATTCTCCAAACTGACACCCAGGTGAAGACATAAAGCTGAAACAGAAATAAAGCACGAGTCGTGCAACTTATTTAATTTCCATGACCATTTGTTGAAGCTCACACTGGAAGTTACTGCAAATATGTCAGCATGCTGACTACTAGTGGCCGACTGTCTTTATTCAAAACACTCTCTTGTTTTCTCTCTCCATCAGGAACCATGCAGTTTCCCAGCAGAAGAAGGAAGTTCATCACCAACTCTCAGACGGAGCTCTATGGACATCCTCTGCAGTTCTACGGGCAGCCACCTCTGGAAAACATCTGTCTCACTGAATTTGAGGCATTTGCTGTGGATCGGCTGAAACGTAAGACCTGGGTCTCGTGCTCGTCTGATGATGTTTTGAGCTGTTGGCTTTTTCTGTATGCGGCGTTTTCTCTGCTTTTGTGAAAAGCATTTTTTAATGTGTTCAAAAAATGCCTGATATTTACACTGTGTTCTTTTATTGCCACCGCAGTGTTGAAGACCATTGAGAATTTGGGCGTGAGCTGCGTGAAGCTGTCCGAACAGTACAAAAAGAAACTGGATTCTGAGTCTAAAGCCCTGAACTTTCCTTACAGACCAGACGCTGTGAGTATGTTTAGCAGTGCTACATTTACTACCTGTCGTGAGTCTTAAAGCTTCATCATGAAGAGATTTCGTCATGACAGTTTACCAAATCTTTACTTTCATGCAGGCAGGGCTCAAAGTGAGCACCAGCAGAGTGCCGGTTTAAAAAAAAAAAAAAGTTCAACCTTGGGAACATGACGTCATGTATCACTCTGCAATCATCCACCATATACGTGTATGTCGGCAGTTACTGCTGCACACTGTACTCCATTGTGCTGGTGGTCGCCTTAAACTGCAATCAGATGCCAGTTTATTTGGGTACAGAGAGCCAAAACCCATGCAGACTAATACAACTGATCTGTACTGTTAAACAGGCATGTAGTTCAATTATTTTGGCCATCTTGTTTATATCAATGGCGGTAGGCTGAATAACAGAAACACCCGTTAGTAAAACACGCCTGTGGCTGGTGCTATGTATTTAGCTTGATCTGCAGCATTGACTTCTATGACTCCGGTTGATTCTGTAGTACAGCTTCAAACAAGGTAAAATTGACTTGTTAGCATTTTTGTGAACCTCAAATTATTTCATAATCGTGCACCTGACTGACAGTGAAGATGATAATCCATGAAAATGACGACATCTTCTGTAAAGCGAGTGAATGGCAGTATCAAAACACAAACTAACTGATCTCAGAGGCATACAGTTGGCTGCTTTCTTTGCAAACTACAAATGAATTACTAGAGCCAAAGTCACCGTAGATGGAGTACAGGTAGTGTAAGCATCACTGCTGTACCTGTTATGTATGCAGAACCACAAAACTCCATTTAATACATCTGTTATTTGGATTTTGACCTCACAGCTAAGATTATACACAGCACGACAAAAGTCATGAAGAAGTAGTGAATAATGAAAACAACTATATCTTTAAACATTCTGTACCTGCTTTCACCCGTTAAGGATGACAGGAAACCTCAGGCTGGACTGAGTGAACATGAGAAACGCAGAAAGGACCACATCTCCCACTTCATCCTCAGACTGGCCTACTGCCAAACGTAAGTTTAGTAGTAAGTGAGTGAGTTTGTTGTCAAATCAAATGTAATTTTAAAAAAATAACGCAACTGAATGTTTATTTCCAATTGAATTGTAAAGGGAGGATCTGAGGCGGTGGTTTATACAACAGGAAGTGGATCTTTTCCGCTACCGCTTCAATGAACTGTATCCGCCACAGAAGCTTGAATTTCTTCACAGAAATAATCTGCAGTACGACACTGTGAGTATGTCTACGTTTACATATTTTGAAAGTCTGTTTTCTAATTGAATGTACGTAAACTCAAAAGGTTCTGCTAAAGCAAAATTACAATATTATTTTCACCTCCGGTGCTTTTATTGGTTCACATCTGGCCACATCTGTGAATGTAAAGGCTTGTGGACTGATCTGAAAGCGTCTGTAAAATATGTAATTCTAAAGAAACCTTCAAAATGTATAATAGAAACTAACCAAGAGAAGGAAAAGTAACATTAGTGTTGAATTGTATTTCCACTAGATGGAGCCGTTTGATCGATTTAAGACACGTGAATCTTAAGGGTTTCCTTTAATGGTGATTTAAAAGTTTAAATGTTGAAAGAGTTTTTTTTGTGCTCTAATCTTGTGGCAAAAAAAATGTATTTGTGATCAAATGAGATTTCAGAAGTGATAAATGTCGATCAATGCTATTTTTAACAGTCACAGTACTCCTCATCAAATGTGAATAATAAGTGTGTTTAGTTTCTCTTTTCATTTTAAGTGAGTCTTCAGACCCAATTAAGTTCAAGAACCGAGGCAGGTTTTCTAAAACAGAGATGCATATTTGAAGGAGGAAAATGAAAAAGCAACTCTTTTAATAATCCATCAACGCGTTATGTGTGAAGCAAGGAGGAGAACGACACCTGATAAATGATGTTTGGCTCCCACCAGCCTCAGCCTTCACTGTATTGACACGGACACAGCGAAGCCTCTGCTGCTCTTCACTGACACTCACCTTTGTTATCAATAACTCTTCAGATTAGTGTCGAGGAGAAGAAGACTCTGCGGGATAAACTCGTCAACTCCAGTTACACCGTCAGTGGAATCACTGTGGAGGAGCAGGACGTCTACAAAGTGAGTTACTCATATCTCTGTGTCTCTCTCTCTCTCTCTCTCTCTCTCTCTCTCTCTCTCTCTCTCTCTCTCTCTCTCTGTCTCTGTCTCTCTCTGTGTCTGTGTTTGGAGGTCTGCTGCTTCAGACTGGACTTTTCCTTTTTAAACTCTCTCCTGTTGGTCCCCCAAATTTATGGAGTTGCAATGCTAAATCTACGGAGTTGTCCCTTTTTAAGGTGATTTCAAACCAATGTATAACAAACTAGATGATTACTTGGATAAATGAATCCTTTGTCAGTATAATTTGGGTCTCATTCAGAGGTGTGTTGAAGATATCAACTGTCGCTACACGTTACATCTCAGATCACACACTTTTCTCTCACAGTGTGACTCGGTGTCAAATACGATGGGGAGCATTTACAGAAACACTTTTATCCTTCTGGCAATACATGAAGTTTTGTAAATCCACAGATTTGGATTGTAGTGACTTCTGCTTTTTGTCGGATGTTAAATTTGGACTAATTACCACAGAAGCTTTCTCATTAGATTAACCCATACTGTGTAAAGTGAACCTGCCAGGAGCACCAGGGCAGTGCACATTGTAGCATTAGCATTGAAGTAAAACACTGATTTAGATCATCTTCATATCATTTCACAGTTGAATGGATTTAAGTTGTCAGTTGTCTATTTACAAAATGAAAGGAGAGGTGAAAATACGATGGCCTTGACTTTGAATTTACGTTGCAGTATTTGTTAAGAGCATGTAAATCATCACACTGCCTTTATATAACATCACTAGAATACACAGAGCTAAGGGTGGGCCTCAGCATCCTGACATTCACTACACATTCAGAGTATTAACATCTATATCTTTTAAATGCATTCATTATTTAAAATATGTTTTTGTTTTTCTTTAAAGGTCCCATTTCAGGATGCCCTGGATCTCGTGCGAACAAGGAAAGTGTACCTGAAAGCGGGCTACGTGTACATCCCTCACCAGGACATTGTCACCATTGTTCTCAACGATTTCCGCACCCGGCTGTCTAGAGCTCTCGCAGTAAGTGTTTGAAGCTCTTCACTGTTTCACAAAGAGTTAATAATGATATCGCAGAACGCTCAAAAAGAAATGTGTGTGTGTGTATATTTGACCACTTTATTAGAAAATGAGATGATGGGTACACATCAACAATGCTCAGGTATGCTGTGGAGTTTAAATGATGCTCAATAGGTCCTAAGAGGCCCACAGTGTGCCAAGGAAATCTCCCCCTCACCGTCACACCTCCTGTCCTATATCTGGAGTTAGAACCGTGGCTGTTGCCTTCAGGGCCTTACAGGGAAACTGGAGAAATGCGAGGTTCAAATAAGTTTGCACACATGTTGACACGGGGACAGCTAGTATGAAAAGTGCTCATTCTCCCTGCGGGCATGATGCTTTTTTTCAGGGCTTTGAAGGGGGAGGGGCACAATACCAGCATGTTCGTGCATTGAATGCCCTGAGGGACATGGAACATGGTGTTTCCAGGTCCAGAGGTGTCCTTTATGAAACATGCGAGGAGACAACCATCATTACATCGTGGTGAGGCATCCTGACGAGAGAACGGGCACAAGCATGCTCAACGAGCACGAGCAGTGACACTAAAGGTTTATGAATAGACGTCAGCATCATTAATGAGATGAAAGAAATCTACAATATATGCAACTCACAGACACAGAAGAAATGATAGAAGAAGTCAGTGTAAAGGCCAGCGAATCATTAATGTTCTGATTGGAATGTCGGATCGACATGAGGGATCAGTGAAACGATGTAACGGTGACGATGTTTCTAGTGTGCGTCATGCATCATTTGGTCTAAAGCAGCGCTTTGAGTCTACCGTAGAGCCGGCAGCTCATTGCTTTGTTCTTCGAAAGTGATTCGGTAGTTTGAACAAATGAGCGTTTTTTTTTTGTTTTGGTTTTGTTGTTCGACCCTTTTTGTATTTAACTGTGTCGTCACTTTCAATCAGTGTGTTGCCCGTGTTCATGACAAAGAGCGGCTTCTGTTTAGCCAGAGATCTAAACAGCCTATCGGAGCTCTCGTTTAAAACTCACTACCTGAATGTGCTTGATTTAATACACAATAGTGATTTCGTGAGTAGTTTTTAATGTAGCTCACTCATCTCACAATGCATGCAGAGCATCTTGGCCTGCTGCTCTGATGTGCGTTTACCTTCACAGAGAGAAGGTAAACTGTTTATTGTGGGCGAGTTCTGTGAAGAATCCTCTCAGGACTCCACTGGCTGCAGAACCTGGTCTGGAGTCCAAAGCCTGATTGGATACCAGATTGTGTGTCCTTGGCGTAGTATAGAAAGTCGTTGCCGCTGCACTAATGTTTTCATAGTGGGCAACATGCACTTGATTTGCTTGAACACATGTGCATGTTGCCCACTAATGTTTTCATAGTGGGCAACATGCACTTGATTTGCTTGAACACATGTCCTCCATCATGGGACAGACAGCAGGACCATCTTCTCCAAATTACAACAGGAAAAGCAACTAAAAAAGAGCAACTTGGACCAGTTCTGCCATTCTCCCATTTCCTGCTAATTATCCGGACCACTAACTGTTGGAATGGAATAATGCTCCAAAACAATTTTGCTTGTAACTGTGCCGTTGTGACTGTTTGTGTGTTGCTATAATGGTTATTTACCCCCACTGGGGACGACGCGGGGACAGCGCAGAGAATGTGTCATTAAAAAGGCATGAAATTGAAAGCTGCTTCTCAATATCACTCTTATTATTGGTTGTCTGTTCATTTTAGCAGAAAACAACAGAAATATTGTGTGTGTGCGTGTGTGTGTATAAGGCAGTCGTAGAAGTGATTTCGACTGTGGGCTTGTTTGCTGATTGGAGTCCATATTCATAAAGCAATTAAACAAAGTAAAGCTTTCTGTTTGAGAGGGATGAACATCCAGTCACACTCTCAGCTGAAAAGTTCACTTCTAACTGAGTCAGGAAAACCAAACATCAGGATCAGGGGGGTGTATACAGATGTTCCAGGATGGGGTCATATAATAATGACTTTAAAGAAATAGTAAATAAGTTAATGTAGCTTTATTTACATTTTGCTCTGTGAAGTACTTCATCTTTGTACTTACCCTGCAATGTTGGGCTGTCCTTTTGAGAAGCACTCTCTAGCATTACTCATGTGATGTCCATCTCATCTGCAGCTGACGGCCCGCTCGCTACCAGCAGTGCATTCTGATGAACGACTCCAACCGCTCCTTAACCACCTCAGGTAAGCACGGCAGGATTAATAACTATGCTGTCACTTTGCCAGGACTCCGTTTGGAGAAATGAAGAAGAGATTTAGCAGGATTGATCTTTGGCACCAAAGAACGGCAGCTTGTCGCTGGTCTGAGTAAACCCAATCTGTCCTTGTAGTGAAGTCCAGATGTTGTGGGTATTTGTGTTGCCTGGCTCCGTGTGCAGCGTCGTCTATTGCTATTGTTACAGTAACTGTCTCAAAATATTTAGGACTAATACTTCTCATGCACTGTGCTGTATCTCTGTGTTGGTTGTTGAGTGTTGGGGCCATGCGATGGATTACTTAATTCATTTTATAATAGTTTAATGCAAAGGGGCATTTTAATGGTAATAGATTAAATAGAGCTCAGTGTACACCCCGCGTGAGCCAAATTCAATATTGTTTGGAAACCTGCTTAAAGTCGTGCTGTGAGCGAATGTGATCAGCATGTCAAGTGGACGAAGTGCAATTAGTTTTCTTCAGACAGGACTGGTGCAGTAAAAGCTGTTGCTTATGTCGGTGCGTTGGAGGTTTTTAGGTTTTAACCAAAATGCTAAACGCAAGCATCAGAAGCCTGTTGTGTCATTTAAGTACTTCACCAAAGGTATCTTCTTTTGTCATCAGTTGCAATATTTAAAATTTTACCCATCAACAAAAAAAGCAACGAACCGCACTGCTGTTTGCAAGTGATCAGATGGGATCAGTGTGTCCACATACCAGCCTGGATGCATGTGTTGGTGTGGTGACGACGTAGCTATGCTGGTGACGCGGCTTTCCATCGCGGAGGCATTTGACGAGCAAGTGACTGGCAGCTGTTGAAATTGGTCCAGCATTGAGGGAAAACGCTGAAGTCGCAAAACGGGCTGCAATGTAATAACTTTGGGCCACTCAGCGTCAATCTGCGGCCAATAAATGAGCTTCTTTTTGTTAGTTACAGGCTCAGATTGACAACATTATGGAAATAACGACAGAGAAATATAATGTTTTTCTTTACCTTTGGCTTCATCTGGTCTGGTTGTTGTTGTTGTTGTATATTATATTGTGTTATTATTGTTAGTTGTTGTGCAGTGATGGTGCACTGTTACCCGGAAGGATTACATTGCAGGCAGTTTTGCTCGATACTGGACCGGTTTAAGAATTTTTGTCCCTACTAGACACACAAACGTGGGGAAATAGGCTCCAGGCTTAAAGATGCCGAAGTTACCGTTCAGCAAAAGCACTCAAGTTTGCATTAAATAGAGGCTCGATAGCAACAGTGTTGAGTTCAGCTTCAATGGCAAAGGAGAGCAGCTCAGAACACAGTTAGTGTTTATCTCACTTTAGATAAAAGTAAGAATATGAATATACGGGTGGAAGACGTCGTGTTGCCCGATTGTTGGTGGGGGATTAGTGGGCAGAGTTTTCAGATTAGTGGGCTGGCCACTAATCTCTTCGGTAGGGGGAGCACAATGTGGAGTAAAGCACTGCCATGCAGGACTCAATGGTTGCCAAAGTCATCGATTTAAACATCTCCTGATGGCGGCGCGGCAGTTTTACATTTACGTGATGGGAGGTTACAGCGGATGTTTTATATTTACCTTTGAAAAATGATTGTGTCTAGTCTTCAATGTCGGCTCTTACTTTGATTACATTGAGTGGACTAATATCTAATCAGATTTCATGGCCCTGATTGCTTCTAAAATGGTTTTATTTGTCACAGTCCTGATATTTTGTAACAATGCGTTTTTTGTTTTAGTCACGCCTATGTGGGACAGGATTACAGCATCCAGAAGAATGTTGGGAAAATCTCCTTGGATCAAATTGATTCAGTAAGTGTCATTGACCGTCGACTCCTTAAATGTCAAGTTTAAGTTGCCATTTAGCCCGAGGAATGGGTGGCGTAAAGCGTATAATAAGGTTTGTGTAGTTATTCTAGTGGCACAGAGCTAGGAATGAAAGTAAAGTGTATTTAGTGCCACTTTAGGGTCAAAAAGAAGATATGAAATCAAATATAAGAATAGATATTCACACGTACAGATGGATTACAGTGGTCTTGTTGTCCGCCTCCAGCTTTCGGGAAAGTCCTTCCCGCTCTGTATGAGGCAGCTCCACCAGTCCCTCCGAGAGAACCACCATCTCCGCCACGGCGGCCGCATGCAGTACGGCCTCTTCCTCAAAGGGATCGGCCTCTCCCTGGAACAGGCGCTGCAGTTCTGGAGGTCAGAGTTCATACGAGGCAAAGTGGATGCTGACAAGGTAATGCTGACAACATGAATGCTATGAATGTGTTTTACGGTATTACTTTTGACTGCTGAACGTCCTGTTAAATGTTAAGTCTCTGCCATCAATTACAGAGACTGCGGCGGCTTGGCAAAGACTATTTTACACCGCCAAAGTGCCATTCAACGCCTAAATGGGCGGTGCTGGTTCATTCGTGATGACGTGACCCCATCAAAGCTGTATTGAGAAGAATAAATGTCCCTGGTAGCATTATTTTCATGCACTCAGTGCTAATGAAGACTTAAGTGCTCGTGGTCTCAGATGTCGTGTCGCTCAATAGAAGAGCGAGACTCAGTAAAGACATTACGGTTTGTTTTGCATGAAGAGAATCACTTCTCTTTATGTGAATAGGAGACGAAAGTGACAGGATATCACCTGATGGACCAGTTCACATGGAACAGATAGAATTTCATCCTGTGCATTGTTATAATGCTTTAAATATTTATCTATTTCTATTATATATATTATTTCTATTCTAAACGAGTCTGGACTGCACCAGCATTTATTTAACAGTTGTGAACTATGTTATCAAGCCACGCTGTCAAGAGAATAACTGTTCTATAGATAATTAGGCTTGTATCAGTTTGCCTTCACAGATGTGACTTTACCGTGAACACTACAGACTGTTACAGCATCTCTGTGTGCCTTGGCTGGCCTGTCTGAGTGAGATATGGAAGATTCAAACTTCACTCTGGTTTTTGAGTATTTTATTTTTAATGCTCCATCCTCAGTGCAGCCAGTTCGTTGTCGAGATATCATGTCTGTTACGAGACACGAGAAAATTAACTTTCAATTCCAGTGAGTGAACTTCATTCTGTGCCATCGTGTATAGTAGCGAAAAACAAAATACAATCCCCAAAAATGATGAAGTTACAATTTGTTGATTTGATTGATAGACCAATCTGCTAATTGAGAAAAGATCAATAAATTCAAATGAACATACACATACACATACTGTAAGTCATGACAGCTATTAAGCTAGAGGCTGTAAAATGTGCCATCATTCACCAACACTGCAGATTTCTTTTACACCGTCACACGGAACGCTTTATATCCAAATGAATGTTGGACGTTTCAACAGAGATGTGTCTGGCTATCGTTAGCTAAACAAAGTGTAAATGCTGACTCGGTTCATTGACGAACAAACTAACAACTACCGGTACAAAGGTCCAGATTTAGAGAGGCGTAACGTTATCACATTTTGCAAATTAGCGCCACCTCCTGACAATAATAGAGAAAGCTGTCTAACGTTAGCCCTCCTGGCTATTATTAAATATCAATAACTCTTGAATGCATGTAGAATACCGCCGGCTTCGCACCAATGTGAGTTCAGTGACGTAACGACCCTTCCTTCTAATATATTCAGTATTTCTTGCACTGCAACAGGAATTAAACTGACACATTTGGGCTGTTAACGTTCCACAACTGTGAAATGGTCGATATATTTATTACAGAACTTTGAATATACGTGTATAAAAGTAAAACATGTGATCTTGTCTTATCACTTGAGCTGCTTTTATAATTATTTCTATTTTCTACCGTACATTTGAAAAGTAAAAGCTTATGTAAATATCGTCCATCTGACCTGCGGCGATAAACACTGCTTAATCTCACACACACACACACACGCAGTTTTGGGTGCTCATCAAAAGATGCAGTATTAACAGGGTGCAAGGTGAGTGCCAAGAAATCATTTAATTGTGAGTTAAAAAGAGACCCGGTGCAGTGATCTGGCTCAGAGTTGTGTGTGTGTGTGTGTGTGTGTGTGTGTGTGTGTGTGTGTGTGTGTGTGTGTGTGTGTGTGTGTGTGTGTGTGTGTGTGTGTGTG